GTGACGTCACAAACCAGTAGGTGGCAGTAGTGTTCTTTGACAAACATGGATGCCTCCAGTAAAGCACATTCACATGAAAATTACTCTTAATTAAAACACTTATCAGTTATTGAACAGTATGTAATAATTTATATTTAATGTACTTTCAGAAGTTTGAATTCTGAATATGACCGGAGTTTTCCTTTAAACGACACACTTGGAGTCGTATTTATCCTCCAGATACAAAATGATAGAGCTGTCAGATCTGTTCCTCAGAGGTCTGTATTCATTCACACATGCAAGGTCAAACACAGATATTAGCTCGACATCAGCCTCCTCAGGCACTACCTACCTTACCGGTGATGTCATTCACAGCCACATGAACAAAAATTGAAGCTTCTTCCATACCTTCCAGGTAAACATGCCGATAACCTGTGCACAAATTCAGAAAACAACCTCAGTTCACGTGTAAATATGAACAAAACTTGAGTTTTAAAAGTGCTTTTCCTAAAACACTTTAAGAGATTAAATTGCCTTTCCTCCGTTTCACGATTTTATGTGATGAACCCAGTCGGCTTGCAGGGGCGGGGATTTGCTTATTTTTAATGTAATTCAATTCAATTCAGTTTATTTCTATAGCACCAATCCACAACACAAGTCATCTCGAGGCACTTTACAATTCAACCAGGTCATCCAGTCAAATTGATTCAAAGTTTTCTATCTAAGGAAAACCAGTTGATTGCATCGACTCATTGACTCAAATACAATCCCTCATGTAAGAGAATTCTCGTCTGTAAATTCAAGCAAACAGTTTGGTATTCAGTGGTACATTGACTTAAGGAAAGTCTCGCAGACCTTTACATCTTCCCACAAGTTTAGGATCTCAAAGCATTCTCATACACAAATACATCTATTGTTATAGGCAATTTTGATCTACTCTGTGACACCGGGAGGCTTTCACATCGTTTGTACTGGAAACAAGCGTACAACTTTGTTCTCTTAGCTGATCCTACTTGTCTTTTGATTAACTCTTCCCAGATAAAGGGGAAGTCAATGTTCCAGAATATTTCTTTACTTCCTCTGTTCTGAGAAACTGCCTTTTGATGAGAGGCTCCCTTTTCCAATAACATGAGATGCTTTTCTTGGAAACAAATGGTCCTCCTCTCTTTCTGCATCTCAGACTCTCTTCAGGGAGAACTATAAAGTTTACAATTCTCTGTTTAAAATGTCCTTTTAAACATCATGTTTTATTTCACATTTATATCTTTAAAGAAAAATCTAAGCTTCACAACAGAAAAAGACAAAAAGGGTTAAGCTTAATGGCACAGCTTTGTAGTGAATTTTCAAAGACCTTTTCTAGTGTTTCAGTTAGATAACATGTCAATAAAAAAAATATATGAACATAACTTTCAGACATTCAAAAAAAGTAAAAAAGAAGAAGTGTCAGAAATAGCGTTGAGTTGCTTTATACATTAGCCCAGCAAAGCCTTATTTTTGTTAGACAACATGCAAATTGAAACACATTGGAAAGGGAAGCGTTTGGCTTCTTTTGTTGGCCTGCAATGCCCCATACCGGTCTATGCCTTTGAAAGGTGGGTCTTTAAAGGGAATTATTGGCCTGGCTGAATAGGCAGGGTCTTCTGTTCCCCTCTAAAGGGGTTGTGCTGCTAACGGAAAGGGATTAACTCAATTGCTGCGTTGTAGGTTTTTGAAAGCTGAAACATGAGTCCACCCCCCTCCCGTTTAAGCTTTGTTTTTCGTTCTTAACATAGATGGCTTTCTTCACGCTCCTCTCAAAACACCTATTTCTTTGTCCAAAATGTGAATATTCTGGAACATTCTTGTCCTCAAAAGTCCTCAAACGAATAACATTCTTCTGAGCACCAGAATGCTGACATTTTGGACAAAGAAAATAGGTGGTTTGAGAGGGGCGTGAAGGAAGCCATCTATGTTAAGAAAGAAAAACAACCTTAAACAGAGAGGGTGGACTCGGGTGACATTCTTTTGAGGACCAGACAGCTAAGCAGGCCAACAGAAGAAGCAAAATGACCCCCATTCCAAAGGGGTGGACCCGTTCGTCCATTTCAATTTGCATGTTGTCTAAGCAAAAACAAGGCTTTGTTTAGGCTACTGTATAAAGCAACTCAACACTATAACCCGGGATAGGATGCGAAAAGTCTTCAAACTTGGAAATGAAAGTCCAGTGGATTGTTTTTTTTTGTTTTTTTTTTTTACTTTTTTGGAATGACTATGACCTGGATGACTGAGAATCTTTACCAGCAACTTTCAGACATGTTTAGACCCATGGTCTGGTTTTAGTTTAATTGAAAACAAGGGTCCAAATTTAAGGAGCTTGGGCCACAACTGGCCCCTCTCAACAATGTAGACACATTGGATGAAAGACTAAAGGCTTGTTTCAAGTGTACAAAGTGGCTAAATACCAATGCTTTGTATGTTTGTAAATGATACAACATCAAGGGTTTCATTCCTGCCGCCACCAGACTCTATAATGCTGCACTATAATCACAATAACTCCTGTAACAACCACTGTGCAGCCATATTATAGTTTTTTTATTTATTGACTGTGCAATATTCTGTGCAATATGCTGAATGTGCAATATATGTGAATATAATAGTCATACCACTACCTCACCGTTGTTTCTTACCTACTACACTTTAACGTAAAAGTAAATCCACCTGTATATAAGCCATCCTGATTGTACATATTTTTATTTGTTATTTCTTTATTTCTTATTTTTATTTTGTTTTTCATTGTGTGCGATACATGTACACTTGCACCTTAATCCTTATTTATCTTGATATGCTGTATATATAATGTTTATTGTTTATTCTTAATTCACCTTTTTCCTCCTTGTTTACACCTTCTTTGACTTCTATGCCAATATGTGACAAGTGAATTTCTCCGCTGTGAGATCAATAAAGCTCATCTAATCATCTAATCTAATACAAATCTTAGTGTTGCCTTGAACACAATGATACTGAAGTGGCCCCCTATAAAGTTTGACACCTCTGATCTAAAACAGATTTTTACCTGGCATCATGCTGTGGAAGGCGATGGTTCGCTGCCCGATGAAGTCTTGGCCAATTGGGTCATGATCCCACACAAGGAAACGTACAAGGGCCAGCTCTGGCATGTGAACCGTAAAGACCAGAGTCTCCTCCCACATTGGATTGAAGCCTAGAAAAGCGAGCCAAGTGAGGGAACATAGTATGTAGTGAGAGGAGGAAAGATGGAAGAGAGGGGAGACGGAGTTCACAGCAGAACATGTGCGATAAATTAATGGACATAATGGAGACAAATATTAAGATAGGAAAATTAACAGCTCGACACTCATCACTTATTCAGTGTTTGAATTAAACAAGGTGGAGCAGCACTGCTTCAGCACCACAAACATTCAAATCATAAATCCCAGCAATAATAAACAAATCCTCTGTATCCAGAGACACCGTCTCAGTGAGTGACAGCAAACTGAGATTATCATGCGATCGATCATTTACCAGTTAGCAAACAGTGAAGCAATGTTTCACACTGCAAAAATAATCTAGAAAGAAATAACATTTCTTAAATTAAGTGTACCGTAATTTTCGGACTATAAGCCGCACCTGAATATAAGCTGCAGAAGCTAAATTGCATGATTTGTCGTGCACAGAGAGGATTGTCGGGAAAGAGGCGACTGTTTGGGGAAGCTCCTATTTATTAACATCTCAACACATTTTTTCATATTTGCATACGTCAACTGTTACAATTTAGTGCAGTAGACGCTCACATTTATTAACCGGTACGTTTGTTTTCCATAATGAGGGTGTCACACAAGCTCGCCATGTCCGTCTTTCTGGCTGTCGTTCTGTCTCATACCACTCGCGGTAGAAGTCTGCTCGCAGAGGATCTCCGCATTCCCGCGCGCGGCTACTGTACTTGTGTGTTAAAGCAAATGTGACGTCAACATGGTGGATGGTAAAATCCATAGATTTAGGTATTACCCTAGTGGCCGTTAGCTGTAAAAGTCCATAGATAAGCTGCATTGTTATATAAGCCGCAAGGTCGAAAAATGGGGTAAAAGTCGCGGCTTATAGTCCGCAAATTACGGTATTTACCCTTAAAAAGATCATTAGATAATATGTGCTTGAAACAAATTAATAAACTTTAAGCAATTTAAGAAAAAATACACTTATCTAAAAAAAATTACTTATTTAGATTTCATTTTTTTTGCAATTTATGATTTCTAACTCACCATTATCATCCACCACTCTGGTCTGTTCTTTGCAGCAATCAACAGGAAGGCCGATAATCTCCACTTCCACAAACGGATCAATGATCTGAAAGAACAGTCAGAATGCCATTTAGGAGGAAACAGAAAAATTTAAAACTTTGTCATCTGGCTGTACGTATATTAGCGCAGTAAATATGGCCACAATTCCCTCCTTTGTTGGTTTAATTATGCGTTTGTATTAGAAAATGGCATCCATCATATCTTTTCTAAGCTGGTGTCTCTCCTAAGCTAAATCATTAAAGGAGAAGCATTTATTCTACTATAAATTGACCTGGGTTCTGCAGGAGGAGACATTACTGTCTAATATCGCCACAAACCAGATGAAAAAAAAAATCTGACTGAATGCATTGTTCCAAATGCTATAATAAGGAGGAGGACCTATGAGAACATATGAAGGACGGTGGACAGTCTGCATAGAGGTGGAGAAATGGTTGCCTGGACACAACTTGGACCTAAACTACAGCGCTCCATTTTTTTTTTTTTACAGGTGTTTCTAGGACAACAGGATGCCTTATTTAAATCTGCACATGAAGAAAGCAAATAAAAGTGCATTTTGTGGTTCTGGCCTTTTTTCACCGTGTTTGCTCTTTACCTTTATTCACAGGACTTGTGTTAACCTGAGCGGACAATAGGGGCTTTGTTAAACATTTCAACAATGAGCATTTAATGGGACCCAGTGTACAAGGGGAAGGGGTGTAATCTGGGGCTACAAACATGAGGAGGATGGAGTTTACTAACAGAGTAAAAGGGACTAAAAAGACTAATGGATTTTTTTTACCTCTCCTCTGTCTCCTAGCATTGAATCTTTGGGTTTAGGCAGCTGTTGTCCACTGATTATTTTTAAAATCAGCTGTTTCTTCATCCGACCAGGCAGCGGGTCATCCAGGTTTGGATTAAAGGCACCTATGGTGGGTAGAAAACATTTATCCCGATGTTCTGATAAACTGGCTGGGAAAAAAAGTGAATAACTTACAGACCTTCACACATGCAGGAGGGTTTCAGGATGTAGCCACAGTTGCCATTGCTGTAGAATTTTGCTCGGTTGAGCTGAAGGACTCGCCCCTCCGACTGATAGTTGAGAGCAACTGAAATCAAAGTAATATGATGGTAAAGATTCTCATCCAGGTCATAGTCATTCCAAAAAAGTAAAAACAAAAACAATCCACTGGACTTTGTTTCCAAGTTTGAAGACTTTTCACTGCCCATCCAGGAAGCTTTTCCAAATCAAATTTCAGAAATAGCGTTGAGTTGCTTTATACAGTAGCCCAACAAAGCCTTGCTTTGAAGAGAGAAAAAACCTTAAACAAAAGGGATGGACTCAGATTTCAGCTTTCAAAAACCTACAACGCAGCAATTGAGTTGATCCCTTCCTGCCATCATTGCAACCCCAACCCCTTTACAGGGGAACAGAAGACCAAGCCTATTCAGCCAGGCAAACAATTCCCTTTAATAACCCCCCCTTTCAGAGACATAGACAGGTATGGGGCATAGCAGGCCAACAAAAGAAGCCAAACCCCCCATTCCAAAGGGATGGACCCGTTCGTTAATTTCAGTTTGCATTTTGTCTAAGTAAAAGAAAGGCTTTGTTGGGCTACTGTAAAAAGCCTTGAACTCAATGTTATTTCTGACATTTGAATCGAAAAAGCTTCCTAGATGGTAAGTGAAATGTCTTCAAACTTGGAAACAAAGGCCAGTGGATTGTTTTTTTTTGTTCTACTTTTTTGGAACGTGATCAAAGTAATGTTATATAGAATATGAGATGTGGAACTGGAAAAATAGTGTTTATTTGCATCTAAGGTAAATGAGCTGAGATCCTACCAAGCTGGCAGCCAGAGTTCCAGAAAGGCTGAGGGTTGAAATTAGACGAATCTACACGGTAGGAGGAAGGATAGATCCGGGAAAGCTGGCGCTGGTTAAACTGGATCAGGGAAGTGGCTTTCTGCTGCATCAACTGATGAGCTTTGGTCTCGCTCAGAGAAGACACCTGCCAGCTGCAGTTAGCTGCAATACAACAAGCGGAACAGTGAAACTCACATGGATTTCACACTACAAAAAAATAAGAGTATTTAATATACAAGGAGTGTTCACCCCTAACCCACTTCCAGTTGTTTGATGTACCTGAAATTTTGCATGTGCAATTATTTATCTCTCTATAGATTAAGTGGCAAATTACAGCTCTGGACTAATTGGGGTTTCTGATTTACAGCTGGTTGAAGTGAGTCAAGTCTGAAATGGAGCCTGCTGAGCAGTGATCTGGTTTTATTTGAAAGGATGCACACCGCTGGAGTCTTTTAATGAAAAGACCATATGATGGGGCTTCATCACACCAAGTTACTTTAATTTCTTTTGCCCCTTAATCTATAGAAATATAAATAATTGTACATGCAAAATGTCAGCTAGGTCAAACAACTATAAGGTGGTCAAGGGCGTTGGTTACTGAATGTCCCTCGTTTAACGAAATATTTCACTGTAGCTAAGGAGCAGTTTCAAGCAGTGAGTATTTTTGCTACAACACAATTCCTAGGCTCCTCACTTCCGACAAACTAAAGGGAAAGTTTCCACTTATTAAAACCTTTCCTTGATTATTTGAACTACAGTTTACTGAAGTTAAGATACTGTTTTAAATTGCTGCAGTTTGTTAAGCAATAAGTTAAGATACTTAGCTTTAAATTGGCTTATTTTGAAAATATTCAAAATAAGCCGATTTAAAACTAAGAAAATCAAGAAATACACTTTCAGATCATGGGTTTTGCTTTACACAACCTGTTCCAGATGGATAATTTCACTAGAAAACTTCCGTAAAAATTCAAAAAATATCCACTGGTCTTGGTTTCTAAGTCCAGTGGATATTTTTGAATTTTTACGGAATGACTATGACCTGGATGACTGAGAACCTTCATCAGCATATTGCACTCCACTAGAAAACAATCACCTTGTGCCTCAATATCATATAGACCAACGGAGCAGGTGTACTTCACCAGATCAGACAGAGCTCTTGAAAGCTTCATGGTCTTTTTCTTTCTGTGGGGCCAAGAAAAAGGGTGAGACATCATGAACCCTGCTAAAAAAATCCAATAAAAAGAGAAGTTTATGAAAGCATAATTTTTATAATGAATACATGAAGTAAGCTTTTAAAAACAAAACAACTACATAAAAGACAAAGCAGGAAAGCGGCATCAGCAGAGAGGAGCTGGAGAGTAATGCCTCTTTTACTATGTGCAGACTTGTTTCAGTGCGTCCAGATGTGGGCTGTTCACTTAGAAGTAAAACATTTTCTTTGAGGCCACAGGAGATAGAAACCCATCTATAAACCTCACTGACAGTCCCAAAAAGATCCTCTTACTGGCCTCCAGGATAAACACTGGAGTAAAGTGGTTTGTCTCTGACACATACTTGCTATGGTGGAGCGCGGCGCGGGAAGTGCTGCTTGTGCTCTCCTGGTCTGTGTCTGTATCTTCGAAGCTTGATGTCTTCTTCAACTTGGACAACTTTTTCTGTTAAAAGATTTAGCAGGTTACCTGACAAGTAAGTGTGATTTAAAGATAGAAATAAATAATTGCAGAGCCAAAAAGGTTCAATGTGCTTATAATACCCATGCCTCAGTGAGTATTACATTACAGTCGTAGCTATTCAATATTTCCCCACTTTCCCTGAAGGGCCCTTGGCTGGGCCCCAAAGATTACTTTTTCAAACATCAATCTTTGAACTAAAATATTCTGTCATGATTTGTGGACATTAAGATCTAAAGAGAAGCGCCATCTGCTGGTCAGACCCTGTAATTCAGTGAAAGGGTGGGGTCAGAGTAAAATAAATCTGCACGCCCAAGAGAAGGAGGGGGGGCTCCAGTGGCTGGAAGTTAGCTGCCGTTCGGCTGGCGTTTGACTGGGAAGAGCCATTTTGAATCGCTGCTGCTGTACATGGGAGCTTTGGCACAAATAACTTTATTTAATTTCATTTATAGACCAATTATGATGTAGAAAATGGAGTTGGGGAGTATGAAAATAGGACCTACCTTGCGTTTAGAGAAGCTCCCAATGAAGGAGCGGCTGGTGCGTTTAGTGCTGCTGGGATTGGCCTCATCTGCTGTGTCTGTCCCGTCGTCACTTTTACCCTGAAAACGGTTAGAAAATGTGTGTTTGCTGAGAAGCATTTACAACACAAATGTAATCGTTCCCACAGAGCAAACCTACAGAGAATAAGTTGTTAATCATTCGACACTTGGAGTGATCTAAGAGTAAAGCTGGCTGTATTTTTCCATTAAAATGAAAACAAAAAAAACAAAAAACACATTTACTTTGTAAAACACCCTGAAGCTGCTTCAAACTTTTCACTGCTGTTCAAACAAAGGATCAGTTTTTAATCAGAGTACAACTCTGGGTCAAAGAAAATTGCTGACTATCGCACTGGACCCTCATGTTTTCTACACATTTTGAGCTGTAAGACTTTCAACGTTGGGTGAAAATGTGCAGTAACCCAGGCAACAAACAATTTCAGTTGACTATAATCTTCCTAAATCTCCCTAAATATCACAGAATTGGATCTTCATAAAGGAGCATCAAACCAGAGGTTTTTAATGGGTTTACACTTTGAAGGCTGAAACTGAACCACATATTGCCTCATATATCAGGTAAAACACCCCAAATGGGTTTACTTTGGTCAGGTGAGGTACAACTATAGAGAGAGACAGACAGGATAAGTGATGACACTGTGAATGCCATTGAGAATCAGAATGAAGTCAGACCAACTGGTAAATCTTTTGCTGATTCAGTGGGTCCTAGTTTCCTCAATGCAGGCGGAGTATGGAGGATTGATACCATGGATTGGTTTCCTCCGAGCCCTGGCCGATCATGTTTAGTCCTTTCTTTGTCAAAGTATGTGGCCTCCATTATTTCCCCAACATATTCTCCATTTCATTTCAGTATGGATATCGGACAGGATTTACTTTTCAAATTGGATCTAAAGTTTTTCTTTGACAGTGCATTTATTTAAAGGAGAAGTCCGGTCATGTTTCGAATACAAACTTCTCAAAGTACTTTAAATATGAAATTATTACATACTGTTCAATGAATGATAAGTGTTTTAATTAAGAGTAATTTTCATTTGAATGTGCTTTACTGGAGGCATCCATATTTGTCAAAGAACACTACTGCCGCCTACTGGTTTGTGACGTCACGGTGCGGTATCGGCTGTTGATCAAGTCCCAGTGCTGTATCTGGTGTTTGTCACAACGCGCTATTATCCAAGTCATCTTGAAAACATTCTTCTTCCAAATGTTGGCTACATATTACGGGTTTTTTCTCTGGCCAACGACCAACCCGTCCGTGGAGGATCAGGAATCAGAAAGGTGGAATAACTTTTTTTTCACTTTTACCCGATGTATTCCAACATCCAGCTGATAGGTTGTTCAATTCATAAATACTTTATTAATCCCACAGGGAAATTAAATGTTGCAGTAACTCATTATTTAAAAAGGAGAAGTCTGGTTATATTCAGAATTCAAAATCTTAAGTTAAAAAGTGTTTAAATAAGAGTCATTTTCATTAGAATGTGCTTTACTGGAGGCATCCATGTTTGTCAAAGAACACTACTGCCACCTACTGGTTTGTGACGTCACGGTGCGGTATCGGCTGTTGATCAAGTCCCAGTGCTGTATCTGGTGTTTGTCACAACGCGCTATTATCCAAGTCANAGTTTTAGGTATAAATAATGATCCATTAATTATTCCTTGCTGAGTGTAGTTTTCCTTTAATACAAAAATCATAAGCAGAGACATTTTTTGATACTGGAATAAGTTAGTGATGCTTTCAACTATTCTGAGTCCCCTTTAAAAGATCCCATCTTTGGCAAAATTGCCATAAAAAATGAGAAAAGGAATAGGAGAAATGTCTGCTGTTGGTTCAGCTCTGGTAAAAGAAAAGTGAAGGACCAAAAGATAAAATTGGTTTTAGGATTACAGGATAAAGAGGCAGATTAAGGAGCTCATTGCTGTGCAGATTGATGCAGCTCTCCCTCTGATTTTAGAACCAGCCTGGAATGTGAGAAGCTCTATGAGCTGCAATCAGAACCAGAGAGGAGATGGTAGCAACACAAGAGAACTGCTGGCTACTAACAATACAGCTAATAAGGATTCGCCTAAAGAACATCCTCCCTCTATGCTTACAGATTAGATATCAATGTGCTTTATCTTTTCAAAAGTATGTCTAAAAAAAAAAAAAAAATTATGTTGAAAATAAAAAGTATTCTCTAGAAATTAAAATGATCTTAAGCTGTTAGTAAACAGTAACATTTTTAATTGATTATTTAAAACAATTATTGATTATATATTCATCCTCAAAATTCCGTTACTAGAGGTGAATTTTTTTAACCTACCCAGCTGCTGAATCTAATCAATTTTCCTCTATGAGGATGATAAAGATGAACTTATCTTCCTAACAATAACAGTATGATTGTTCTACAGGTTTGTGAGTTTGTTTAATCTATTGTTTAAGGGGTCAATCAGCCAGTCAGCTTTCTCCGTTTCTTCCATCTTCTCTGCTCCTGAAAGAATCTTACTGCTCTTAATATTTTTCCACTTTAGCAGCTGGGGTGCTTTGTGAATAATTTCTATAGTATTGTGGTAAAATTCTAAGATGCCACCAGAAGCTACTCTTCTATCTTAGGATTTTTTTATGAATCGGGCCCTGACATCTGCTGTGGTTTTCTCCACAGCCTCATCGGGCTTCTGTTTTTTTAATTGTCCACTAAGAGGAAAGGAAGAAGCTAATAATAAAATCTCCCACCAGTAAATAAAAGCTTTTTGTGATATTGTGCCGGAGAAATAACTTATTTTAAAAGAATCTGTTTAATCTTTACACTAACGACCTGTCCAGGTTGTACCCCGCCTTTCGCCCATTGACTGCTGGAGATAGTCACCAGCACCCCTCGCGACCCCACTCGGGATAAGCGTGTTAGAGAATGGATGGATGGATGGATGGATGGATGGATGGATGGATGGGTTTAATCTTTAAGGTCTCACCATTTAATTTCAACATTTTGCTTTAGTTCTCCATCTCTTTCTACATACATTTAAACATGTTTGTTTTATTTTGCTAAGAATAATGTAAACTTGATTTGGTATAAATATGTTTTTAGCCAATAAAAAAAAACAAAAACATAACTATTACGAAAGCAACGGTAACCATTAACTTTCATCTGTTGAACAGATTCTTCCTGCTGAGGAGACTGAGGTCTTTTCGAGTGCAGGGGGCGCTCCTAAAGACCTTCTATGACTCTGTTTTGGCATCAGCCATCCTCTAATTTCCGCTATTTTCAAATATCCATTACTGTAAAAATGTCCATATATTGGTTATTTATTCTCTTACATATACAATGTTTTCTATAATCTTTTCGCTGCTGTAAACACCAGAATGTCCCCATTGTGGGACAATAAAGGGATTTTCTATTCTATTCTATTCTATTCTATTCTATTCTATTCTATTCTAACTTTCATCTGTTCTCAATAACAATGAAAAAATGTCAAATGTGTTATGATGACCCTGAAGGGACCAGAACTTCTTTGCCAAATAATAAGCTTCAAAGCATAGTGATTACCTTGCCGTCACCCTTTTCCGGGTTCTTCCCACTCGGTGGGAGGCCCGCGATGGTGAAGCTGTCTGGGTCCTCTCGGTCGCGGATCTTTGACTCTTTCATCAGGCTGTCCAGTTTTTTCTTAGCCATGTTTTCCACCTGCTTCCTGTTAGCTGATGTCTGTAGGACAGGGCAGCAGTTGAAGGTCAAACGATAAGAACAATACTGTAGAGAGGTGTTTATGATTGGTTAATAATGGGCAGTTTAGTTCTGGAGGTCTTCCCACTTTGAAAGGCTGCCATGTTCTATACATGGGATTCACAGCAGAAAAAAACTTGGTCAAACGATTTTGTCTTGTATCATTTCATGAAAATTGCTCTACAGAGCAGCTAAGACCTGTGGGTAAAGCTTCAAAAAGATGAGGCGAGTCAAATCAAGCGTTTTCTGGAGTGTGAGGTTTCTTAAAGTTCTATATATTTTTTCACTGAACATTCTTCAACTTTTTCCAGAAATGTAGCTTTATTTCTAGTTCATTAGCAGTGGAGGCTGGTCAATAGAGGGCGCTAGGGCGCAGCCCGACACACCCAATTGAAACTTGATTCAGACATAAAAAAAACAAATAATAATTAAATAATTAAAAAATATTTTTTAGATTTACAAGATAAATATTTAATCTTTACTGGTGAGCAAAGCTGTCTCGTTCATCTTCGGATTGGTGACGTATTTACGCTGTGGGGCGCCACATTTTTTTGGCCTTAGGCTCTCTAAAAGTTGTACACAGGCAGTAGCTCCTCTGCAATGCAAAACGAAAAGGGAGCTAAGGATGGAGCAGAGCTGCACTCAGAGCGGACAGGAACTGTCGTCAAAGTCTTTGTGCAGCTGATTGACAGGTCAAGACGCCAAAGTGAAATCCCTCAAAGCAAACTTACCAAGAGAAGCTGGAGGTGAAATCGTTTGAGCCGAACATTAAAATTAATCAGAAGTCCAAAGACAGATGGCAACGGTTCACACGGTCTTCTAGGACCTGTTTAACTACAAGGCTTGGCTAACTGCATGCAGCGAGGCTAACGCTTTATTCTACTTTCTCGGTCTCCTTTTTCAAACACCAGGATCTGACCCAGCATGGATAAAGACAGCTAGGACTGATTTAAAGCACTTTTTAAAAAGGCAAAGAATAATAACAATCTGGGATTCACATGGAAAATAAAATATAGTTTACATTTGTTTGGTGTTTGTTAATTTGCATATGTTGCTCTTAAATAAACACATTCTAAGAAAATGAATAGTTTTGATATATTAAAAAATACAAAGCTGACTAATAGCTTCTCCATTATTAAAGTGGTACATTATTTTTTTAGGTTTGTGACGCCATATTGTACCATGCATAACACAGATTTGCCTTCACAAAGCCTTAGAAGGGCAAGATTTAAGTTCTGGAATGGCCATCGCAATCCCCAGACCTGAATATTATTCAACATCTGTGGAATGATTTGAAGCAGGCTGTCTATGCTCGGCGACCATTAAACTTAACTGGACTGGAATTGTTTTGCAAAAAAGAATGTTCAAAATTCATGGCTTACTAAACTAGCCCCACCCGCCAGCGCCTAAAATCATTTTTGCCTGCGATTGGTCTTGCTTAAATCAATCCTCCAGGCCCTAGAACTGGCGGGCCAATCAAAACGCAGAGATGTGTTTTTAATTTCTGGGTGCAAAGCAGGCGGGGTTTCGAGGGCGTGACGACAAAGCTGCATGAGGCTGGAGAAAGCACAACAAGGATGATTGCAACAACTATTGAGCAGCAGCATGCACTGCGGCAGCGGCAGCTTTCAATGGAGCGCTCCATTGAAAGTTAAAAGTTCTCTTTTCTGTTGGTGTAGTTCAATAAAAGTAGGTTTTAAGATCATTTGAGGTGAGAATATTCTACTTTAAAGCGTCACTATGTGGCCCATTGACCGATTTAATGCATTCTAGAAATTATAGCAGTGATCCCATTTAGTTCCTAAAGCACCAGCCCTTTATAAAAATAAGAGATCATTAAAGGTCTATTAAAAAGAAATCATATTTCCAAAAATAAAATCAATTCTTTTGGAGGCACTAGAGAGGGAGGTGGAACCAAAATAAGTATTTTAAGGTCCAGATATAATAGCGTAATACAGACTCAACTGACAGCCATATCCATCAAGATCTTTAACGAGTCTCTGTACCTGTGGGAGGTTCCCTAAAGCTTCAAATGCCTCCCCTCATTTTAGTACCACACAAACCTCTACTCTGTAAACAAACTGCAGGGGAAGTGTGGATTTGATACAATTAGTCAATGCCTTCACTGCAACACCTTGTTCATAAGGTGCATCTGCTCCTAAAAACAACCCATTAGCAACATGAACGTGTTTGTCTAAATATTTACTACAATTACTTTTTGTAGAGTTGCAATCAAAATGCTTTCAATGAAAACAAAGTTGAGCCAAAGTTAAATCCCTTTCTCATGCAACAAAGCTGATTCTGAACTCTGTACTTTAGTTTGAGTAATATGCACACGCATAGCTCGGCCACAAGATGGCAGAGTTGATTCATAATAATGATTTCATAATAAACAATGATGGAAAAAAAAGCATCAGTTTTGAAAAAGCCAAATCGAAGTCATATCCACACAGAAATAAGTTTAAGGAACTTTTTGATAATATAATTAATAAAAACAATCTGACAATTAATTGAATAGTTCGTGTTTGAATGATTCTTCACTTTCTGCTACAGTTTTTATGTATTAGTTCTGATTTCTAATTAGTTCAGACATAAAAAATGAGCAAACTACATGCAGACATTAAAGATTAAAATATTCTGTCAGTAAAAACTAAACTGTAACAGCAGCACCTCCTCAGAGTTAAGTTAAAATAAAAAGGCTCTAAGTGTTCTCTTCACACTTAACTTTCTTCAATTAAACATTCTCTGGTTTTGACAAACATTAAGATAATTCCTCCTGAATATGTGCAATTGCTTCTCTAGTCTAATGTATCCGAATAGCTCCTTCATAGAATCAGTTGATGCAGTTTTAGAGCAGACAACTTTAACAGGAAGGATGAGGCAGATGGGACATGACTGGGATGACTAAAGATGAAGTATGAGATACGATACCTTCCACTTTGAAAGGAGTTAGCACACGTGCAGGAAGAGAGGAGAAGAAGAGAGGAGAGCAGGAAGTAAGACCAACCACTCGCACAAAGCAGGAACAAAGCAAACCAGGAGAACACTTTGTCAGCAAAGCCTGATACGAACATAAACCACTACAAACTGGAAACTCATGCCAAAATGAATACTTAATCTACTGAACACAGGAACACAACATCTGCTGGAAACTGACCAGAACACATCAAAGGGAGTACGTACATCTCCGTTCATCAGCTTACAGTCGTCTTCCATCTCATCAGCACTGTCCTCATCAGACACGTCTCCCTCCTCGGCGTTCTCATCAATATTTGGGGGCAGCTTCTTTCCCTGAAGGAGAAGTAGAAAACTTATTTCTATACAAGGATGGAACTGTCCCAGAATCCTTAAATAAATCATTTATAGGCTACTCTTCAACCGGAGCACTGAGTTTCTGTTAAAAGACAGTTGGATTGATACAGAAAACCAAACCAGACTTCAGGCTGAAAACCTGCAACCCCTGGCAAAAATTATGGAATAACCAGCCTCTGTTGTTTAATTTTTGTAGGGGAAAAAAAATGATACAAAACTAAAGTCATTTCAAATGGCAAATGTTTGGCTTTAAGAAACACTAAAACAAATAAAGAATAAAAACGTGGTAGTAATGGTGACGTTTTTAGATGAAGCACGGGGAAAAAAATATGGAATCCCTCAATTTTGAGAAAAAAATTATGGAATTACCCTGTAAATTTTCATCCCCAAAACTAACACCTGTATGAAGTTGGACCTGCTTGTTATTCTGCATCTAAAGAGGAGCGATCACACCTTAAAGAGCTGCTGCACCAAGTGGACTGACATGAATCATGGCTCCAACACCAGAGATGTCAATTGAAACAAAGAAGTCAAACGCTTTAAAGAGGGTAAATCAGAAATGTTTTTTAAAGTTATTTGGTCAACCTTTTATTCTCTACAGATGAGCTGCGCTGCAGTTTGTTGCAGCTAAACACAATCTGAAAACAATCTTTATTGCTTTAGTCAGACAGGCTTCCTCCTGACCCAGATACCATATTCACATACTTCTCTTTCTTCACTTCAATCAGTCCATAACTCAGCCTTTGAAGTTCTATTGTAAAGATCAACAACTGCAATGCCGACTCCAATTTCTCTGTCCTGTAATGATTGGAACTGTAATAAACTTAGTTTTTATTGCTGTTTTTTAGTCATTTTTATATAGTTTTACCAAGTTTTGAGTTAAGAGTAATTAAACCAAGTAGCTTGCTCCCAGGAAAAGAACCAGGAGGGAAGATCAGAGGTGTAATTGCCTTCAGGGGGACATAACTTCCTTTTTTAAAAACTGACAGACTGTAATAGGCGCCTGTAGGCTAAGTCATCGGACTGTGACAAATTTCAGAGTGGAAGTCATCGGAACATTGTACAGTAGTAGCCATACAACGTTTCCCCACTTATCTGATGGGCCCTAGGCTGGTCCCCTACAATTCCCTTTTAAACATCAATATTTGTAATAAAATATTCTTTCTGTCATGATTTGTGGACATTAAGATCTAAAGAGAAGCGTCATCTTCTGGTCAGACCCTGTAATTCAGTGAAAGGGTGGAGTCAGAGTAAAAAAATATGCAAGAGGGGGTCATTCCAGTGGCTGAAAGTTGTATAGGAATTTTTCTGGGAGTTGAAGGGGAGTGGTTTGCCATTCAGCCTGCGTTCGACTGAGAATGGCCATTTTGAATGGCTGCTACTGTACCATCTAAAAACTGGCCTGAACCACAGCAGAATATCGTTCAGACTTTACCTTCACAAGGATCTTGCCCCTGAGCGATTCTGGTGATGGCAATCTCCCGGACTCATCTGCCTTGACAGTGGACACATCTAGTTTATCCCCAAGGATCTCAACCAGGTATTGGGCCATCTTCTTCTGCTGAGGAACACTGCAGTGGTTCTCTATGGACAGGATGACTGGGTAGCTGAGAAAAAACAACAGGTTGGATCAGTAACTGGATTTGGGATGTATTTCTTAGCGTGTTGAACATTGCATTCACCTAGCAAGCAAAATTAATTGTTGTAAGATTTATTAATTCATAAACTCCTGAAAATACATCTTGCCAGGAGCCAGAAGATGCCTTTGCCTTGATAGAGAATTGTTTCAGACCAATGATATGCAGAGACGTGTATGACGTCAACACTTCAACCAGAGGCAAAAGGCTAAAGCTTAACAAACATGGCTGCGCCGGTTTCAGCTGGTTTTATTTCTTTTAAAAAGTGAAGGAAGCAATTTTTTGCATTTGTGGATGGGAAGATGTTTGTATGTTCACCCTAACAGTATTTGATAAGAGTTTGATTTATCAGTTAACTTCACTAGTTGGGAGACAAATCAAGCTGCTACTGCTGCTGTGGTTGGCCAAAAACTCAACATGGGTGGCAGATAACTAATCAGCCCAAAGAATTATACTGACTGTCCCTATCTTTTATCTTTTACATTCAATTTGAATTCTATACATTATCAATCGGTATGCCAGGTTAATATTGCATTATAGCATGGTGAGATCCTTTACTTTGTAATGTTGTGACTAATTGGTGTTGAAAATAATGCAGTGTTGTTAGCTAACAAATATAGCCAAAAAAAATGATTCTTTCCTGTCTTGGTATTTCAGGCTCCCCATACAGACAAGCTGGAACTGTTCATGCATCAAAGCAGACAGCCTCTACACAAAGGATATTTCAGTGCAATTCTAACTACATGGTTGGCTTGATTAAATCAAGGCTGGATCTACCATTTGCTGGATCAAAGCAGGATGGCCACATTAATGCAACAGTATTCCATATGACCTCCAGCTCTTTGGAAGATTTACTTGGGGGTGCGTTGGTGTGAGTATTTGGATGGGTAAGCATATTTGTAGAATAAGCTGAGTTTAGCACCTAAAAGAGTGCAGTTGTTAGTGGTAAAAACAGCAGAAACTCAGCCACACAGAGAAACAGCAGTAGTAGCCATTCAAAATTTCCCCACTTTCCTTGATGGGCCCTTGGCTGGTCCCCTATAATTCCTGTTTAAACATAAATATTTGTACTAAAATATTCTTTCTGTCATGATATTTCCAGATCATACCCAGAAGTTCTGGGCGAGGAGGAGGAGTAGCAACAATCTTTCAGTCTGACTTACTGATTACTCCCAAGGCAGTTAATACTTACAACTCTTGAACCCTAATTTCCCTGATCCAAATTTCAAAGCAAGAAAACCTCTTCTTTTTGTAACTTTGTATTGTCCACCAGGTCCCTACTCTGAATTTTAGATGAGTTTTCAGAGTTCCTTTCTGATTTGGTATTAAATACTGACAGGGTCATCATAGTGGGAGATTTTAACATCCATGCTGACATTGAAGGCGATAGCTTAAGAGCAGCCTTTAATGCTATCTTAGACACTATTGGCTTTGTTCAAAATGTGAATAGTCCCACACATTCTCATCTTCATACTTTGGATCTTGTGCTGACATACGGCATAGAATTTGAAGAAATAACAGTATTTCCTCACAAACCTGTCCTCTCTGACCACTTTCTAATAACCTTCAGGATTACTTTAACAGAGTTCTCCTCCCCCAAAAGAAGGTTCAATTTTAGTAGATCTTTATCAGATAGTGCAGTTATAAATTTTAAAGAATCTGTTTCACTTTCTCTCTCCTCTGTGTCGCTGAGCAGTGCTGCAGAGTGCAAAAGTTTAGCTTATTCCCCTTCACAGGTTGATGATTTTGTTGATGAGGTTGCTAGTTCTCTGCGTACTGCCTTAGACAACGCAGCTCCTTTGAAAATGAAAGCTGGCCCCGTGGTTTAATGCAGAGCTATGAAGATTTCTCTTTTTGGAATTATCTCCAAAGGTTCAAGAGGAGTTCCTAGAACAGAGTTGGCCTTCTTCATAGAATTGTTGACCTTTTTCAAGCTATTTTTTTTTTTAGAATCTTTGTTTAAAATGTCAAAAATAGAGTTCGAGACTATTTCTGACATTTTGAAATGAAAAAAGCTTCCTGAATGGGAAGCAAAATGTCTTCCAACGTGGAAACAAAGTCCAGTGGGTTGTTTTTTTTTTACTTTTTAGGAATGACTATGACCTGGATGACTGAGAATCTTCACCAGCACAGTGTATGAAGCGCACATGAGAAAAAAACCCTTGTCTTACTTACAACTTACTACAGATTTTTGTGTTGTTTTAAGAAAAATGCTGTTGTTGTCTTATAAAAGTTTTAAATACTTGATACAATTCTAGGCCTGAATAGTAAGATTTGATGAAAAGCATTCAAACAAACATGATTTAATTTTTACAGATGTCCATGTGATGATAAAGAACATTTTAAAAACAAAGTATGACACCTTACAAGCCTCAGACAAAACCCAGAATAGTGGGAACAATACTCATTCAAACCACTGCTGCAGTGCCATCTCTGTCAGAATGAGGGTTTTTAGTCCAGTTCCATCTAAAATGGGTTTCTCTATATTTAGGACCATGGAAAATCTGACTTCTCTGAAGTCGAATGCAGCCTAACACCCTACTCCATTTTGGCCAATTATCTGTGGAACATGGAATCCACAATCAGCTTTTTGAAAAGCATAGGGGTGAAGATGCACACAAAGGTAGCGCTTTTGAATCCTTTATTTTGAGAGATGAGTTAAAAATAGAGTCTGGGATCTGTTTGTGTGTTTATGTCAATGAGATTATCTGCTTTTGATTCAGCAAAAGCAGCAAGCATGAATACTTTTATTAGTCTGTGGTCAAATTAGTGAAGAGCATTTCAGAAGAGTTACAGGAACATAATTACTTTGGCTACAGTAAATGAATCCATACCATTTGAATCCATACCATCTTTTACAACACCTTATTTTAAATATTTTTCAAACTTGAATGTAAAAATGATACACGGCACATTGTATAGGTTTTTTAAAATATTATCTTTAAAGATCCTGTTTGTTCACAAGAGTGGCAAAGCCCAATTTTGTTAATATATTTTGTACTCGGAGGAAAAAGGAATGAAAATAATTTTTCTTTACAAGAGATATGCTCATAAATGTTTTCCAAATGGTGTAACTAACAAAACCTAACTAGTATCAAGTTGTGTTTAAAGGGAGACTAAGAAGTTCAACACAGAGTAGTATTTATTTGGAAACCTTCCAGAGAAGCATTGCCACCAAAAAGCAGCCCAGCAGTTGATACATGCCGAAAAAACCTGGGACAAAAATATATAAATGTATGCTTAAATAGTAAGTAAGCTAGAAATGGGGAATGAAAACCGTTAATCTTTAGTCCCAGGCAGTTCTCATTTGCTATTCAAGAATTTCCACCTTAAAATATTGCATTTTACCTTGATTCGTCGTCAAACATTTATCCAACATTAGCCTATGCCTGTCATCACCTCTTCAAAAAAGAAAAACCTTTAGTAAAAGAAAACACATCGAAGCCCTTTTTATCATATGTCACTTTTTATCACAGGGATCATCCTAATCGAAATAAAAATAATCATTTAACACACTATATCATCAGTTGTGACTGGTTGTGATTAGGGCTGCAACTAACGATTATTTTAAAAATCGATGAATCGGCCGATTAATCGATGAATCGGACAAAAAAGATTTTTTATATTAACCTCTTTATTCCAAAATAAACATTTTAGACAGAACAAACAAGCACACAAGTACAGGTTGCTCATTAACTGTACTGTTGCAATATGAAAAATAAATGTTTGTGTTAAAACTACGCAAACTTACGTGAGAAATTTAGCTGTACATCCACAAAATATAGGCTACTTTGTTTCATAACAAAGGCAAAAAAAAAGGCATTTTTGATTTTAAAAGCCCCTAATGGGCTCAAACAATAGGCCCCCCCATTTCAACAAATGAGGTTTTTTTAGACTAGAAGAGTTCTGCCTTTTAAGACAGGAAAGTATAGCAGTTAAAGTTGCTACTTGAGAAAATACTGAACCATAGAGATAAAAATAGCCCTGTGATTCAAATTATAAATTGTATTTGGAATAAAAATGAGAGAACTAGGGGTGCTAAAAAACACATCCTCCAAAGACAGATATTTACATGGGAATGTGGCATATAATTAATTGACATATTACTGATCTTGCTGGATTTTATTCTGCTTTACTTCCATAAATTGCAGGATCTTCTTTACTTTATCTTTGCCAGAAGATTTAAACTTTAAAAGCCTTGCCCTCATAATTTGCAAGTTAATTTATTTATAAAGAAAATATAAACGCTGCTTAAGCTAATTCAAATGAAATTAAAAGTAAAATAAGTAGCCAACCTTATCACTGTCTGTAACCTACTAACACGGTAAGGAAAGCATCAGATGAGCTACCTGAGAAACTAACGTTACGTTTCCCCTCTTTAAAACAAAACAAACATGGTGGTTCCGTGCCATGTTAATTTGTTTTTATAAAAGTTGCATGTTACTCCTTTTTTCGCTTTACAAAGCGCAGGCTATTTTAATTATTGTGATCAATTTGCAGCCGTCAATCCCTGCGCATGCGCGCTTCATAGGCGCCCCACGGCAGCAGCTGCCGCTGCAGGACAAGTTTAGGAACGATACTTTCGTAAGAGTCTCCAAAATCCGCCAGTGACACCGTAAAAAGTCGCCAGATTTGTCGCTAGTCGCTTTTTTGAAAAAAAGTCGCTGGAGGGGTCTGAAAAGTCGCTAAATATAGCGACAAAGTGTGCCGTATTTTTTTTTTCTTCCCCCGTTTCAGTCAAGTAGCAGTGATGACGACGGCGATGGATGACGCATTAATCGCGCGACACAACTAAGCGATGATGAAATTCGTTGCCAACGCTTTTAAAAGTCGATTTTTATCGATTTTATCGATTCGTTGTTGCAGCCCTAGTTGTGATGAACTTCCGCTTCTTCTTCTTATATCTTAAAATGGTGTGCTCTGTTCCTCATCTTTATGTTAACAGTAGCACAATCGTCTACAATAACAGCTGTTTCTACTTGAACATGCTCACACGCTTTATTTGCCGTAATAACAGTCTATATGAAACACCCCCTCATTCATAAAATGGTACATTTGGGACATTTCCGGGTACAGGTGGTCAAAAATAGGGCCCGCCACCAGAAATCGAGGTCTAGTCACCTTGGCTAAAGTCTCCTCTTAAAAGCCAGAAGGGGTGTTAAAGTGCCCCAAAACCTGTGCTGAACTGCCCCCTACAGTGGTGAGGACCTGCGATATTCGCCCTTTTTTAATTTTTCTTCCCACCCCTGGCCTTCAAAAAGTCTGTGCACGCCACTTGAAATAACTGGGCTGCTGAAGTGTTCCGAACATCTCAAAAGAGGATTAATGTGTCAGTGTGCTTGAACGTACTCAGTCTTGATGAAGGCGTACTTGTTGATGGTCTCAATCACGTCTCTGAATAGGATCTTGGAGGTGAGGGTGTAGCCATGGTGTACGATGGGCTCTCCATCCTGACCGTCCCAGCAATCAACTGTGAAAAGAACAGATTTACTGAGCAAGATGAATTCATGACAGAACAGAGGAACTTAATACTAAGAGTTGTTTACATTTAAAGCCCAGACTTTTCTTTTTATATTCAACTATAGTGAAAATGTTTTTTACAGTTTTCTTTCTTAAGTTTGAAAATGGTTTGCATGTTAAATTAAGGAAACTCTAGAGGCAGAAGCAGCAGATTAACACCATACTGCTTCAGTGTAATGTTCTGTTTATCCAAAGAAAAACGTTCCTTTTTTGCAGCCTTGTATAAGCGTCTTCTAGTTCATGCTCATGTTTGCTTGTTGATGATTTTTTGCACCTGCACATTTGAATGATTACTAAGCAATTTCCTCACTGGAGACTGAAAAGAACATAATGGTTTCAATGTAGATGAAATATTAATGATAAAAAAGCACATCTCTTGGCGCACACACGCCATTTAGCTCCAATTAGTGTTTCAAGAAGTGAAATGGCCTTTCATTTGGCCTCGGTGCATCAGCACACAGCGTACAGCACTTTAATCTTTGAAGCTCAGCGGCAGCTTTGTTTCACAATCATATAGAAAGAAATTCTTAATCTTCATTATTAAGCTCAGCCCGTTTAGATTTTATTAGTGATTTAATTAATGATTCTACTTTTTTGAGTTTATCTGTTTCAATAGAGTGGAAGTATAACACCAGGTGTTACCATGGCTGTGGGAATTGGGGGGTGCGGGGGGAACTGCAGCACCCCCTAGTGCCGAGAGGGAGATTGTTTGTATTTGTATGACAGAAAGGCATTGAGGAATATTTTTCAGGTGGAAGCATTATTTTAAATGTCACCATTTCTGAATCAGGTCAGACCGATATGCTGATTTACATTACTGAAGACCTTCTGCATAAGACAAAACCTTTTCTCCTAAGATTTAGCCGTTTTTTTTCATTGAAATTTACCAATAATGTGACCAAATTGAAAAGATAATCAGAATAAGAGAGCAGGCTTATCTAACACATGCTGGTTACATCACCAGAAATGCATAATTACCTCCGTTCCCTCCTTAGAAAGGTCTGAAAAATTAGTTTACTATGATGCCAGCCATTAGTGGGCGGGGCTAAAAGTGAATACCTACTGTAATGTTACTCCCGCAGATTCACAAATGTCAGGTGAAATTTAAAATCTCATTTTATTGGTTTACACAGCTATAAAACAAAAAGTACGTGTGAAAAAATAATTTTGAAACATGTTTTAGAACTTTAAAAGCCCCATTTGAAATGCGTGTGGATAGAATACCATGTGACTGTTTTGGCCATTTCTATAAATAGATAAACATGGGCTGGTGTCTGCTGGGTCCTGTAAAAATGGCACAATTTATAAATTTCCTATGAATGTTTTGGGAAGTAATTTAGAATTTTTTTATTTTACTATCACACCTGTTTGGATTTTAATTAAATAATTTTGAGGCCTAATCAACACAAGTTCATGGAAGTTACATTGTCATGGCAACGTCAAGTACGGTTCGCAGCAGCAGACTAGTAAATGACAGAAATGACGAAGAAATATGACAAGGAAATATTTGGATTTGTCTGCTTATAAGAGACTTTATCTCCAAAGAAAGTGCACTTTCATATCTTTTCGTGCAGTTTAACAAAACCATAGTATTTTAGAGTGTTATTTGGATTTTGTGTTCTTTGTGTAATGGATGTAAGGAACTGTTCAATAAGGCTCAAATAGTATAATTTAATTATTTCCTTGTGGTTTGCGTAAAAGGATTATAGAGCTAATAGAGTCGCCTGTGACATAAACGCAGTGACTCAGGTTTATGCCAGCTGACAAAATCTATGTTGTTAGTGTTATTGTGAAGTTTAATTGAAAGCACATATATTCACCTGAGAACTGATAATGTCTGTGTGATACAGACCCTGTTGGCGTGCACTGACGTGTATATGACAATAAAGTAGTGAATCTCAATCTATTTACTTATTTATTTTTATTATATTATAAATAGGCGTATAGGCTCATAGGTCTCTTGTCCAAAAAAAAACAAAATTTTCACAGCACCCTAATGTTCAAAAGTACTTCCAGAGGCCTTGGGTGTAACACACAAGATTGTATACAGAAATTAAGGAGTAATTGATAAAAATTTAATGTTTAGAATAAAATTATAACATTACTGAATTTACTGAAGCTTTGGTGCCTCACCCTAATCTCGTGAGACCATCCTGATCTCGCAAGCTTTCAAGGTTTCACTCGCAAATCAGTCTGGAGACTCTCCNAGTCTAAAGAACATGGCGGCTTCAGCCGATGAAACTAGCGTTAGCTATGCTATCGAGCAAGTTTTATCGGAATTACAGAGTTTCTTCACTGAAAGAAGAGCAAAACACTGCTCTGGAGGCTTTTCTCAGAGGAAAAGATGTTTTTGCTCTTCAAGAGTTTGTTCTTGTGGTTGTGTTTTCGTTATCCCTCTGTTAGTACGTCATATGCTTCGTTGATCTGATTGGTTTATTTGGCCCGTCTATCACCAACATAGGCCAATCAGCTAACCAGTAATTTCGCCCCTTCCCAAAATTACTTCAACGGAAGGTTTCCAGATGGATATGTGGAGCAAATCCATCCGGCGGAGTCAGGTTAGCCTCACCCAGTCGTTCACTAATAAATATATAAAAACTGTGAAAACTCTGGTGCACATAAAGAGATGCCCAAGAGAAAAATGCTAAAAACAAAGCAAACATTCATATCAGTGGAATAAGCTGTAGGCTTATAATGGGTAGGGTTCTTCTTAAATCTGCTTTAATGTGGGTTAAAAGGCCAATTGACTTTGCATCACCTGTCAATCAATCCCAGAGGCTTGTCAGCAACTGACCTATCAGCAATCTCTATTTGTCCAAAAGTGAAAGGGCCGTCCCCTGGAGGAGCACACTCCCAAAACACTACCAGGATTTAGCATTTTTGGAATGCTTAGACATGGGACGAGTGTTTAAAAAACAAAAAACAAAGCACGCATTAAAAGGCAAAATGTTGTCAATGAGCAACATGCAATTTACAGGGACATTACTCAATGCTGATGAAGATTATCAGTCATTCTGTGAAATAAAAAAACAAAAACAAAAACTCACTGGACTTGGTTTCCAAGATCTGAAGTTCAAGTCTTGGAAACCAAGTCCAGTGGATTTTTTTTGTTTTTTTGTTTGTTTGTGTGTTTTTTAAACTTTTTATGAACGACATTACCCTAAAAATTGAGATTTTGTAACATGGTTTGTTCAAAAAACAGTCTTGGAAAATGTAACAGATGAACAAAAGCTTGCTGCCGACTGCATGATCAGCTCAAAACAACTTATTACCATGAAATATGGGTTGTTCATCTGTAAAAAGGTAAAAGGTATAATGCCATAATAACAGATTGTTAATGTTTAGCCTTTGAAGAAGTGTGTGTTGCTAAATTAATTATGAACACATGTGGTAATAAACTATATTGAAGGCAACATGCTGGGATGAGCTTTAAATATTGATACCCAATACAGTTACAAAAGCTGTTACAGCTACAGGGGGGCTTAACTCCCACGAATGTGTACAATATCATTCCTCCTCAGTCTGTGAAAAAGTTTGGGCTTTTCCTTGATTTGTCATCAGAATTTGCTTAGAAAGCTTCAGTATACCAATCAAATAAATCAAACAACTCAATCAAAGAAATATCTAGAAGTGCAGATTATATAAAACTGCATCACTGACCCAGAGTTTTTCTAGTCATATTGAACGGTCTTGATGCTGAAGTCCGAATGTTCAGCCAAAACTTAAATATTTATTTATTTATTTATTTATTTATTTATTTTGTCATTTACACAGTTTATGGAGCAATTGGTGATTCTGCTGCTGCAGAAAATAATATATAGATGTGCAACAAAATAAACTGCAGGACCTTTAAAAACAGATACATTATCAATTTAGTACAAAATAAAATAGGTGGCTCAAATTGAATTTTTCTTTTTGAGGAGGAAAAAAACTAAATTGGGCTGTCTAGACTTCTGGGAAATTGTCAGATATGAGTTGTTTATGGGCAGAAAGGTCACATTTGGGTCACATTTGCACCATTGAGTAAATGTAGCCTTAGTCTAGCAGTAATCTCCACTTATAATAACTCATTCATGCACCAATAAGCTAAGCAACACAGGGTGAGCTGTTTTTCCCCTAAAATACATATCAAAATTAAAACTACAATCTGGGATGGACTGTTCCTCTTCTTCTGGCCTACATCTGATACAGCTCCAACAGGAAAAGGGGTGGAGATTGTATTGATAGAAATGATAGAGCAGTGACACAAATAAGGGATAATTACAATCATTGAAAATACTCAAAAATAATCTGCCAATGCTAAGTTCACAAAACTATGTGCAGCTTTTCAAACATCTATCCTTCCATCTGCTTATTTCTACTCTGCGTCAAAAAGGGATGATGTCTGTCTGCAGTAGATCATGTTTGATAGGAGGGAAGCTTGTAACATGAGCCTGCAATCAATGATGGATACATTCATACTCTGTGAAAATTTGGAATATGAAATTAACTGGGATTCATATTTTTAAACTGTGAGAAGCAGCCAGTCAAGCAGAATCAGTAAATAAGCTGTTCTGCTTTATTTGGGTCTAGAAGCATCATATAAAAATGTAAGCGTGAAGCACCTTCCACACAGCGACAGCCAGCCTGCAGCACCCAGGCGTACATGTCTACCCTGGACTGGGACATCAGCTGGTCCCCCATCAGGTAGGTGTTATGTGATGAAGCAATGAAGTAGTTGCACAGAGGCTGGTTCATGTCCTGGCTCACGTTGTAGTGCTCTGGGTTGAAGATGTCCCCAGCTGGACTGCGCATGTAGTTCGTAAAACCTGGACCCAAAGGAAAATAGCTTTAGCTACACAATGTCAAATGCAGGCGTTTTCCTACAGATCCTATAGGCAGATAAACTTTACAGACAAGACAGGGGTGAAGATGTGGGACATTTGCAAAGTAAAAAAGAAACTCTTAGTCATACAAAGTTTATCCATCAGCTTTTGCTGGAGGCAGTTCAGCTCTGGCACAAGAACCAGTTTAGGTTTATATAGCCAGAGAGCCTTCATGACCAAAAAATGAAAATGAAAAAAACAGCTCTTCTGTTTTCTAGACCTCTGTAGGATATTACAGTGTTATGTTTTGATATCATGGCCTTCATTTTAATGCTGCCTCAAACACCAAGGTTTTAGATATGAACTGGGGGCTAATCTACCATGTAAAAGAATATTATTTTTTATTTTCATAAAAGGAAAAACAGGTACCTAGATCCAAAGCTAAGAAAACACAAAAAAAAAACAAAAACAAAAAAAAAAAAAAAAAAGGTACCTAGATCCAAAGCTAAGAAAACACAAAAAAAAAACAAAAACAAAAAAAAAAAAAAAAGGCACCCTTACCATCTATTCCCAAAACGCCCTGCTTCTGGTTTTCAGAGCACGGCTCAAACTTGTTGATTATCTCCAGACAGTGGTCCTTAGTCACCGTTGTCATCTGCAAGATGAAAATATACCATTTCTAAGACACAGTTTATAAGCTAGAAACATAAGCAGATTACTTTTGCAAGGGTAAATTCCTTTGCTTTAGGTGCATACATGTCATCATTTCATCCATCCTGACTGCAAAACGCAGCCTGGTGCCTGGCAGCGGCTGTTTAAAGCTCTGTTTGAGCTCTAACAATCATTAAAAAGGAGGGGTCAATCCCCCTTTCTGCACAGCTGCATTCCCATCTTTAAATGCTTTAACAAATACAATTTTCAGTAGTCTAATCCAGTAGAAACTTACTCATAACCAATGTTAAAACAACTGCATCAGAGATGCTAACTCCAACTATGAATGAAGTGCTAAGACCTATTCTATATTTTGCAAACTGTGGCAAACATTAAAACAAAAATCATTCTGATATAAACACTTTTTAAATAATAAAAAAAACAAAGATATTTACTATGCAAGTTTTTTGACACTTTCTTTTTTTTTTGAAAATGATACAAATGTTGGGTTTGGCAATTATGACCAAAGAAATCCTAGGGAAGACAGCAGGTGAAACTAATTTTCAGGAGACAGTCACTGACAGCATGAGTAAGCCACTCTAAAGCATTTCCAAAGAACACCGTTGTCCACAGAGACCTGTAGATCAGTGATTCACAACCGGGGGTACTCTTACCCCTAGTGGTCCACCAGTGTATTGCATGAACATATTTTATTACTTAGGTAGTAAAATAAAATAGGGCTGTTTTGCTTTGTGAGGACCCAGTTGAAAAATTAAATAAGATTTTATCAACCAATAAATCAGTTTTTCTTATATGTTTGAAAACCAAGCAGATGAACAGACTGGATGTAGAGAAACTTTTTTTCCACACTGAGCTATTGGAGCTTATCAAAGCTGCTTAGGTGTCTTGATGAAAACAGCAAGTTAAAAAGTAAAACTTATTAAGTCAATCTAACTATAAATTTTTTATTTTGGCCCCAATTCATCTAGTTTAAATGTTATATAAGGGAGTTACTCAGAGGAGCTCTTGTTTTATAAAGGCAGGTTTTTAATATCCCTTTATTTACTATTTATTTTGATTCCCTACTAATGATTAGATTAAGTAAAATAGTTTTTATTTTATAATCAGTTATTGTACGTTCTCAATTTGGACAATCATCAATACTTTTGACTGAGAGAGGGACTTATGGTAAGACAAAAATTTCCAAAGGGGAACACAAGTCAAAAAAAGGTTGGGAAACACTGCTGTGGATTTGATAACAGAAAGTTGAGTGGAAGGAAAACTTCAGGAGGACTGAAAAGCGAGACTCATTGTAGGATTTGGGAGTGCTTTACACGAAGCGGACGGAGGCCATCATTAGCTGGACCATAAGATCTACCTTTTGCTCGGTCACCAGAAAGCGAGTGAGGTCATCTGTGTCCAGGTGGTCTTTGTGGTTGCTGTAGGTAAGCATGAGGAGATAAAGATCTCTACGAGTCGACATCATCTTGTAGAAGGAGCAGAACTCCTCAAACCCCAAAGTTCCCTGTTTGTCATCTGTGTCTGCCTCCTAAAAAACAAACAGACAGTAAAATCAGAATTTATTGAAACATTTTTATTTGCTTACCCTCCTGGGTTTCTATAATAGTTCAAACTAACTAAATGGTCGACACTTAATATTATTTACCGACACTTTCAGTTGAGGACCTGCCATCACTGGAAAAACAATTTAGAAATAAGTAAAAATTTCAGCACATAAGATGCAGCACACACTTATACAGGATGATAATACATAATCCAAACAACTAAGCTCTCTAGAGGTGACACATTCCTCCCACTACCTGACAGATCTGGCAGTGCAGAGTCTTTTTGAGGGTGTGCCTAGTTTATAAAAAATATATATATATTAACCTTATTTGAGTAAATAAGGGTAATTTTTTTTTTCTTCCTTCGTCCATATTGTTCCTTGGCAAAAGCCTCAGCTCTTATCTCTGTGCTCTTATTCTGCCTTATTTTGATAAGTTAAATTTAAAGTCTAGTAAAATTAAAGTACGATAGCTTTGAGAGTGAAATAGCAGGATGAACACGAACATGGGGCAGGCACTTTAACAAGTGATTAGTTTGAAAATACAAATGTGCTTGATCAATTGCGTTTTGGTACAGTATGATCTCCTTATGATAATACTTTATTAATTCCAAAAGGAAATAAATGTTGGCTTTTTTTTTTTAAAGTTGTTGTAAATGTAAATGTTACGACGGAGTATTAGGGCCACACATGAAGAGAAAAAATATTTTTGCCATGACGAGATTAAACTCGACATGTCGACTTTAAAGT